TTTAATACTATCGAATTACAATAATCTAAACATATTTATAAAAACATGATAGCATACATGACAAAATATAATCTTTAGGAGTAAAATGTTTCGAACATACTACCATATACTTCGTAACTTTTTTGCCAATTCTTAGCAGTCGAATCCACTCTTTCCGTCGGTTACATTTCTAAGATTCTCCGAATTCTGATTTACGAAAAATCATCTGTTTTTCATGTGGAAATACATGAAAACTTATATCGGGATCGCGTATGGCTTTGAAATTGCAATTTGAAACACAACAGAAAGCTTTACTTTTACTTTTACTATTCATCTTTACTGTTGACAATATACGAAGAACATTCAAACGACCCAGATAGAGTAGTTCTGTTTTTAAACACCAGAGGGGGAGCATCCGGTGAAAAACGTGAATTGGCAGCGTAAGATCCAGTATATGCATAGACTCTCCTCAAACTGGCGTCTAATTACAGAACGATTCCGTAGCCGTAGTTCTGGCTTTTACCACGAGATGCCGCTAGTGTCGTGACGTTCAGATAGCGTATACCTCGTACTGTACGGTGTGCTTGGAATTTTTTGTCGATATTTTAGCTTTAAAACCATCGATAATTGGTTTTGAAGTATTCCCGCTACGTTGCTAAGAAATCGTTATGGAAAATATTGCGTTGGATATATTAGAAAATACTTGTTATCGAGATAAGCGCTTCTCCACAAAAGGAAATCTTACTAACAAGCATGTATGTTTAGAACATAAGCAAATCCTGGTGGAGGAAAAATGTATATTCTGTCGTTAGACTTCATGTTCTGGAGGATTTTCTACTTTCCTTCGATTACGTGAACATTTGGAGAAAGTACTGCACCTGTACAGTACATGGATTTGCCTGTGAAATTGAGAAGCTGGAATTCAAAAATATGAAGGGTAAGTAAATTCTTTTCTGAAATTTAAAAAATGCTGTATTTAATTAATATATCTTAAAATAATTGTTTTCATGAATATTAACAGCTCATTCAGTAGTAATTAAAAATATTATGTACTGTATTTGACAGATTTCTACGAATGGAAAGCCACAGATAAGTTGAGAACCAACTAAAGTTAACTGTGTCGTACTGTCTAAAAATTAATGGAATTTATAAATTCTACTCGTGCGGCTCTGGCACATGGGATCATGACTACGCTCAGTTCAGAAATGTACTGTATTTACAAAAGGAAAACATTCAATAACAGATTGTGCATATGAAAATGTTGCAAATGTATAATTTTCAATAAATCTTTTTCATAAAGAAACATCTTTCTTATGAATACTGTAGCATTTTTTCTTAGCTAACGTTCAAATAAATCATTGCAGATCTGTTAAATCAGGCTACAAAAAGTTCACTAATATTTTACTGACGATGATAATTTGTTGATGGATTTAAACTACCAATTCAAAAGACTTTACTCAAATTACACAAGATACACTTAACTCTTGGTATTCGCTAGGGTTAGGTTTTTTAAAATTTCGTGAAAACCAAATAAGGATGCCTATGGAGAAAATTGAGTTTGGTTTTGTGGAACATTTCAAAGATAAACGTTAATTGTGAAATAAAATATTGCAAATTTTCTAATATAAAACGTTTAAATTATTTCTAAAAAGCAATGAATAATTTTATTAAATAATACAAAAAAAAAAATTCGAGTAAGAGATTGAAAATTCAGCAGGAAAATCTTGAGATTAAAAGAATTTAAGAACGAAAGTCTACATATTCTGTAGAATAACTTTTATAATATACTGTATAATTTTAAATATTTTGATAAAAATAATGAACAATAATCATCTTTTAAAGCTATAATATAAATATTGAACATTAGACAAAAGACAAATTTGACGTTCAACAAACGAACAGTAGCAAATTTTGTTCGAAATAAATTAATTCTGACTGTATTGTATTTACACAACAGTCAGAATTATGCTTGTCCAGCTTCTTGACGTCACGAAGTAGCGACATCTCGTGGTAAAAAACAGAACTACGGCTACGGAATCGTTCTGTAATTAGACGCCAGTCTCCTCAACACGTGTCTTGTTGACATTTGCACTAATGTTGCCATCTTTTACTCAGAAACTCAGGTTGCCATATCGAAAAATATTATAGACAAATGCGATTTTTTAACAAAAAGAATGTAACAAATATTAATTATTTGCGCACTGTCCTCCAAAATATTCAAATTGCCCCCAATGGGGCGTACGCTCCACGTTGAGAAACACCGGTCTAGAAGTTTATGTTCTTATTCAATTTTTTTTTTTACTTCTCTTTGTTTCGATCACTGGATTTGCATTATAGTTAATTAATTTTGACATAAGTTGATAAGAAAATATAAAAGCTGATACAGTATTTGCTTTTTCTTTTATTTATACGTTAGGTCGGTATTGGTGGCCAGATGGCCGAGCGGTCAAGGTGGCAGCCCACCGCTCTGGAAGACCCGGACTCGAATCTGAACGGGTCGAAAAATTTCCATGAATTTTTCGGGGGTGGTCCGTTCTGATATGTCGGGCCCCGTCCCTCACCACCCGGCATCCCCAATGCGGGCCTGGCCGAACCCTTAATGGGCTTGCAAAAAGAGGCCCTCTTAGTGTCCACAGGGCGGAAAGAGTTAAAAAAAAGAAGAAGAAAAGAAAAGGTCGGATTTCGAATCAGAATTTGTCGCTTTTTATTTGAACAAAGATTAGCCGACTTTTTGTTGATCAAACTAATTTTATTTAATTAAGAAAATGGGATTTTTACAACAAAATTTTTGTCTTGGTACTATATATAAGTAAAATAAAATTGTGAATATTAATTCAGACATTGAGTATTCAATTCAATTAACAAAATCATTCTTAAAGGTGTTTAGATTGAAAAGAATCATAAACTTTAATCAGTCTTTAATTAAATAGTTTTATACATTAAACTATTTTTAATGTATAAAAATGTATCTGTTTTTCTTAATCTTTTTCGTCTTATTTTGAGAAAAACGTATATTAAATCTTTGTCAAATCCCTCTTACCAAACCCGGTCATAAGTAGATTTTTGATCTCTAATGATAGCAAAAAAATATAATTCACAGATCACATAAGCTGTAATTATAATTTATCATTAACAGTGATTAATTTCGTTATACAACATAGGCGAAAATTAATTATTACAGATACATATACTGTAAATAAAATTATTTTGGTATTAATGGCAATTTTTTTCTTGTTTATGTGAAATTCATTAATTTTTAAGAATATCGCAAGTGTTGAAAATGTTTGCTTCTACAGTAGATTATAGATATTCTTGAATAAGCTAAATAATCTTATATTTTGATTTAAGCTTTTTTAAGGTTAACACGAGAAAACAATGATATAGTGTTTGTACACAATTCTGTACGTCAGCGATTTAAAAGAAGAAAAACAGCCTATGTTGGCACTTTTACCCATCCAGAACACTTTTAATTAACAAGATAGATTCAAAGACCCACATATTTTCACACATCAAGTTTGGACGAAAAGATTTAAATGATTCCAATCAAAACTTTTAGAAGAAAATTTTTTTAAAAATCTATTATAATCTTATAATTAAAATTATTTGTGTATATATAAAATATATAGCTATACAAATAATTTAATATAGGGG